TCCTCTTGCATTGTTCCCTTTACAAGGATGTAGTGGCTTTCTTTGTCTCTCTTAATCAGTTTTGATTTGAAATTTACTCTGTGAGTAAGATAGCTGCCCCTGCTTTTTTCTGGGCTCCTGTCACATTGGAGAACTGTTTTCCATCTTTTTACTTTAGTTTATGAGTTTCCTTTTGCAGTAGGTGTGTTTCTTGTATACAACATATTGTTGGATTTTGCTTCTTCATCCATTTGCCAGTCTATTTGTTTTGATTGGTGAATTAAGGCCATTAACATTGACGGCTATATCTGATATATATATATATATTTTTTGATATGGTTATATAACTGATATGTATTATCATTGTCCTGTTGTTGGCTCTTTTTAATTTTTCCCCCCTTTCCCTTTAGTTTCTTACCTTGCCTGATTGATTTGCTCTGTTGTGCCTCACAGTGTTGTGTCTTTTTCTAAGATATTGTCTAGAATTGTTTGAAGTGCTTGTTTTCATGAAGTTTCTCAGGTGTTCTTTGTCATAAAGTATCTTATTTCCCCATCCATTTTAAAAGAGAATTTTGCAGGATACATCAGTGTAGGTTGCAGGTTTTTTCTCTTAGGGCTTGAAATACCTCATTCCAGACTCTCCTTGACCTGAGGGTTTGTGTTGAAAAGTCTACTGTGATTCTGATGGGCTTTACTTTGCGTGTGATTTGTTTCTTTTCTCTGACTGCTTGCAGTATTTTGTTTGTCTTTTGGGTTTCTGAGATCTTGATTATTATATGTCTAGGTGTAGATTTTTTTTAAAAAAATCATGGGTAGTTGGAGTCCTGTATGCTTCACTTCTGTGTATGTCAAATTCTTTTGCTATATTTGGGAAGTATTCTGTCATTCTGTGAACAGTGTTTTTTTTTTTTTTTAGTCATTTCTACTGCTACTTCATGGATTCCTATCAGTCTCATATTATTCTTTTTTACATTATTTAGGAGTTGTTGGATAAATTTCTCATGATCCCTCACTGTTTTTAAGAGATCTCTCTTTTCTTGGTCACTGACTGCAACCTATCTTCTGTACCTGAAATTGTATGCTCACATTTGTTCATTCTGCTATAAATGCTTTCCATAGAGTTTTTAATCTCCTGGGTATCTGTTTGATTCTATTTCATGGATTATATTTCCTTTGTTGGGCAATCAAGGTTTCCATTTCTTTCATATCCTGGGCATTCGTGGCTTCTATCATGATCCTGAGATCATCCATTATTTTGTCTGTTTCTGTTCTAGAGTCTATAATCATGTTTTTAATTGTGCTTACCATCTCTGTAGTTATCTGCAAAATTATTTGTTTTGACTTTTTCTAGAGCCTGATTGATTGATCTGTTTTGTTACTTCCTGTGCTGAGTTCAGGGTGTCCTGGTGGTTGATTGTCAGACTTTTCCACTTCATTTCCCATAGAGTGAACTGGAAGTCTGTATTTGTGCCTTTCTTAATTGTTTTCTCATTTTTATTTTTGTTGTTGGTGCTTTCGTTGGTTTAATTCCTGGGTTAGTACTTTGATCTTCCTGATATAGCTGTTGTTTAGGTTTTGAGTCTCTGATGACTCAGAGATGCTCTCATTTGCATAATATCATGAAGGACAACTGATTAAATCAATCACAACCCTTTAGCCCAGTTGATACAATCAGCAATACAGTAGCATTAAGCACAGTTTAGAAATTGATAATTTGCAGTAGTTATTAATCTATCATCTTTAACTATGTGAATTAAATCAAAATTGAGGACTAGTCTAAAATATGTTTCTAGTGAATAAACTCTTAAATATAGCAACTTTACCTTTCAGGATGGGGACTTAGACAGAGTTGGGAGAAGAGGAATAGATAGGTAAAAGAACAGGAGAAGGTTTCAAGTGAAGCCAGAGAACACAGGATGATCATGCAAACTCTAGGAAACTGTAGAAGACGAGAGGGAAAGACAGAGTACAAGAACAAAGACAAGAATAGAACAATTTAACAGTAATAGAGAATTTGTATTCACTTCCTTTGAAACTAATTACAGTTGAGCCAAGGAAGACGAAAGAAAAAGAAGAAATCCGAATTAGGGTAGGAATAAGAACAAAAATGGAGATGAAAACTAATGTGGGGAAGCAAGAGGCTGAGTGGGAAAAAGAAGAAAGAAAAAATGAAGAATTTGAAGAATGCAAAAATAAAATTTTAAAAATAAAAAAAAAATAAGAGGAAAAAAAATTAAGGGCCTCCTTCAGAGTATATCTCTGCTGTCAAAACAGACAATGTGAGCAGCAATGTGCAGAACTAAGTCAGTTAGTCCCAGCTAGCCAAAGGCAGACCCCTGAGATTCAGGCTGAATTCTGGCTGCAAGGCTTAAGTTGAGCTTCCTGACCTCCTGCAGGGTTTAACTCTGCAAGGTTCTACAGCAGGTTCCAGCTGCTCTTGCCCTGAAGATAGCCCAAGTTCTGATGGAAGCTGGTAATCCCTTTAACTTAGCAATTATGGATGTCTGCTGTGCCTTTATTGCAGTTGTTCACTTCTGTTCTATCTTCTTGAGCTCATTACTATGACCGCATATACCTCTGCACTGTTGATCCAGGTCCTGGCACAACCAGGAGGCCCTAGAGCACAGGGTGTGGGAGGGGGGTGCTACAGAGTTGCCCACATGGCTGGGAAGTCCTCACTGGTCTGCTCCGATGAAGGTGCTGGAGGTGGGGAAGCAGCTAGCTCCCCGTGTGGCTGGGCAGTCCTCTCCAATCTCTCATCACCACTTTTAAACTCAGTTTCATTTTGTAAATTAGAAAGCCAAGATTTAGAAAGGTTAAAGAATTTATATAAGGTCACACAGTGATTTAGTACAGAACTAGCACTTAAAGTCTTCTGAAAGTTAAAAAATAATTTTTTCCTTTACCACTTTGACTATTATCATTTTCTCAGATATTTTCAACCTGAGTTATTAAAGTCATAGCTTTTGCATGATTAATATTTAACTTACACAGATTTAGATATGTGGACTGGAAGAAAAGATAAGAGGAGATTAAATTGTGCCAGGGATTCCACCGCCCATTCCTCATAGTGATCTTATGTCCTGGGATGATATAGGGAATTCTGAGTATGCCTCTTTCTAAGGATGACTCAGATATTTCAAGATAAATAATTTTTCATACAAACATAATTGCTTATTGCAACAAAAGTACTTTAGTGTCCAGCTAAAGAAACAATGATGTGGTACAATTCTTGAAGGAAAACTGGCAACTGGTAAACATTGGTTCAATATTGGCTTATTTGTGAGGAGGGTCAATTTGGACTTTCTCAAATTTTATTTCTCATGTACTATAGTAATTTAAAAATTTAACCTCTGTGTAAGATGTGAGTCAATCCTATAATGCAATGCAGAAAACCCTGTGAAATAGTACTACGTAGTTTCTAATGGCCTGAACTTTTGACCATCCTTTTTTTTTTCCCATTGTTTTAGCCCTTGTGTCACACTCCAAACATATTTAGGCCTAAGTACAGACCCAGGAGACTGTCATTTAAGACAATGAGTCCTATTCACATTGCTTCTGTACAACAAGATCAGGAGTGTGTGCAAATTTGAATGAATTTGATGGTTCATTCATCAGGAAAGAGTTAGTATATAAAATATGACATCTTAACTAAACAGTATACTTAGTGACTTAGCCGTGATATGCTCTGGTAGTTATTTTTTTTTACTGTTATGGGCCAGTACCAAACCATTTTTTTTTAACGTAAGAGCCAAACTAAGCAACTGCCCATGGATTCATGGACAAGTAATTGTTCATGGCAGTTATTGACCTAATGTGCATAGAGGATGGATGCTTCAATGAATAGGAAATTAGGAGCTTTATCAGGTCCCCTGTCTATCCTGAAGGGTCATAAAGAATTGAAGTACAGAAATTCTGATACTATTCTTTTGTTGTTGTTCTGAGATAATTTGAACTCAATTATATCTAGTGTGAGCAATGTTACTGGAATTCTGTGAGAGTTGAAGGAAAGACCAACTGTAAGACTTGAAAGTGTATTATCTATTAATGTTTTTGTATAATTGCACTGTAATTTGATGTTACATTTTTTTTATACTTCCAGTGATTTTGCAATAGGGCATTTTGTTAGTAATGTGCATAGGAAATCTGAATTTTAATATTCAGGAAATTTTTTAGATTAAATTCAAGGCTGACTAAGTTAAAACATGGTAGAGGTTATGAAATTGTTCATCATATTGGTTTGGTTTTGGGTTTCCTTTTTTTTTAGTATCGGGGATTGAACTCAGGACCTTGCACTTGCAAGGCAGGCGGCAGAACCACTGAACTAAATCCCCAGCAAATTGTTCATCATATTCATAGCTCTGTATTTATTCTACTGCGTTGCATCCTTTAGATGCCTTCAGTATAGGCATACAACAAATCCATACATGTGTATGATTAAATAAAATTAAAAGGGCCTACGTAATCCTATTTAAGACACAGGGATTTGAATTAGTTTGTAAGCTGTTTGTAATGTATTGAATGCAGCTATCACGGTAAGTTTCAAGCATATTTATACAGCAAAACAGCATGTTTTATTTGTTCTTATTTATAGTCTTATAAAAACTTACATTTCAAGGCTGGGAATGTGGCTCAATTGGTAGATCACTTGCCTGCCCTATACAGATCCATAGGTTCCATCCTCAGTACTGCCATCAAAAATAGGTGGTGTAAAAGTCTTACATAATTTTAAGGTTAGTTTATTGTATGTCTCAGGTGCTGGAAACATTTTGTACAGTATAACATAGTTCTAAGGGAGCATTTTTCCATTCAACTCTGTGTACTCACATTTATTCGTCAAAAAAAGCTTGAAATTCTTTTACTTATAAAGTTCATAATGATCTTTCCTACATATTGTAAAAGATATAAAGTAAATACAATACTTTGGTACTTTTTTTTTGTAAATACTGTATTACTTTGTTTATACATTAAGAACCAATCACATCTCCATTCAGGCTTAAATTTGTTTATTTTCTCTAAAGGGCACTGTGGAACACTGTGTAATAGGAGTGATAATCCTTTCTGAATTGACTCAGGAAATGAATCTGGTAAGCCTTCTGTCTAATGGAGATGTGAAGTTTGCTTAAGTAATGCTGTTCCTTTTACTTCTGACAAAATGTGTTGTTGTTTTTGTGTGGGATAAAACTGACTAATCAAAATTTGTGTATGTGTATATTATCTGTTTTGGGGGGAGGATAGTAAGTAGTGGAATACTTTCATTGTTATTATAAATAACAATAGTAGAAAGTACTACAAGGAACAGGGAATGAGACATGGTCCTTGTTCCATGGATACTCGAAAAATTTTCCTTTCATCTTCTGTATGTGTAGTAACCAGAAAACATAAATTAAATGCAAAATAGAAACAAATCTTTATTCACTTACAAATAGAAGACAAGTTTGGTGAAGTTATTCTCAACAATGGTTACACAGCAACATTATCAAAACTCGGGCTTCTTGGCATTTTGCCTCCTTCTAGCTAGGATTTTCACCATATACAGGGAGTGTTTTCACCCTCCAACACTACTTTTGTGATTTCATCTGAACACATTGTCACCTGTTCCCATTTGCTTTTTAGTGTGGTTCTGCAAAGGACAAAGCAGAAGTTAGGTTCTGTGTAAAATAGTTTTATAATAAAGGGGATTGTGTGTGTATAAGTATATGTGTATGTGTGTGTGTGTGGAGAGACAGGGAGATCTTGTATCTCTAAGACCAACTTTCTTTGGAGTCACGATATAGTTACATATCAAAAAACCAGAATCTAAAGTAATTGTTTTTCTATTTGTGTTCATTCAGAAATTAGAAAAATTTTCTAGATGTATAGGAAGGATTTCTAAATTTTAAAGTGATCTTATTTGCCATGGTCACTGTCTCCTTGACTACCCCAGAGTACCTGATTTCTCTGCTGTAGGTGTGACTCAATCAGGTCCTCCCTCAGCCTCTTCATGATAAGTAACAATTCTGTGTTGACTGAGATATGACAGAGACCTGGATGAATCCTAATAATTATGAAAATATATCTAATGAACTATAGATTTCTTTTTAAAAATATTTAAAATAGTTTTTTTTAATTATCATCATTGTCATCATTATTATTGGTTTGTTTGAGACAAGGTCTCACTATGCTGTTCAGGCTGGCCTTGAACTCACTATGTAGCTCAGGCTGGCCTTGAATTTAACGATGATCCTCCTGCCTCAGCCTCCTAAATTGTGGGATTATAGGCATGTGCTGCCACGCTCAGTTTAAAGATAGTTTTAGTATAGACATTTTATCTCATAAAAATGAAGAGAATATTACAGTAACATCATGTACTTATCACCCGGCTGTAATACCTTTTGCTAATATTAAAACTATAAGTTTTATTCATTTTTTACATTGCACATACAGGAATATAGGCTGCCCTAGAATTGAGTTTACACTGTTGAGTTTGTTACTGAAATATGATGTAATTCAATGTGGAGTTCTAATGAAAGTATAGTTCAGAGATCAATGAATTTTTTAAAAATAAACTTTAGAAAAGTTCCAAGTATGGTACAAAGAAATTTTATATTGACAATTCGATGGTAAGTTGCCAATATAATCCCCTACCCCCAGGGAATAATTTAGTATATTTCCTACATAGTAGAACATTCTCCTACATAATCCCAATACCACCATTAAAATACAAAAATTAACACTGACGTGTTACTATTACCTAATTTCATAGTCAATTCAAATTTCATCTTTTAGCCACCAAATGTCCTTTAGAGAAAAGGGTACCACTTTAGAATCAGGCATCATACTTAGTTCTCATGTTTATTAATCATCTTAATGTAAAAAAATCCGTTGATCTTCCCTTCATTTTTATGACCTTGATACATGTAAAGATTAAAAGCCAGTTGCCTTGTGAAATATTTCTCATTTTGAGATTGTCTGATATTTTCTCATTATTAGATTATTAGATAATTGAGATTACGTATATTTCTAAAGAATATCACAGAAATGATACTGTGGTCATCTTGTTGTTGCCTCTTCTAAGGAAATGTATGATTTGGTTTATCACATCACTGTGATATTCACCTTGGTCTCAATTAAGATGGTCTCTACTATGCTATCTCAACTGTATATTCTTTTCCCCTTTGTAATTAATAAATATTATATGGATAGGTACTTCTTTAAGACTAAAAATTCCTGTTCCCCATCACACTTAAAATTTATTGTTTATAGTAATATAGATTCTTACTTTCTGGTTTTGCTTGAAAGGTTAAAGTTCATTACTGACATCATTTTGACACTCACGTTTTCCAAGATTTGGCTAATAAGAGACTTCAAGCTGGTTTTTTGTTGTTGTTTATTCAACATTACCTTACATTCTTTGAATACTTTCGTTTCTTCTGGCACAAAATGTTCTAGTCTTAGGTTGCACAGAATCAAGTATCTTTGAAGAAAAGCTCCAAGGTCTGAAGTGTGATTTGGCTTTATATGGTGAACAAATGGGGCTTCAATGGAGATATTTTATTTACTTAACCTTAATTTTACGTCACTTTCAGTTTCAAGTAGCATTTATTAAGCATTTCTGAACCAAGCATTCTGGGGGTGTTCTATACTACATGGGCAAAGTCCAGTATTATAGTTTTCAGATGTGTACCTTATAAATTCATTCAGTGTCAGTTAACAAGATGTATCCTTTAAGACAATAATACAAAAGTTAAAAGAGGAATATAAGTTATCCTACTTTTTTAGAAGCCCACTCTATTGTTCCTGGAGTATATTCAATTTACAGTTATCAGCAACTAAAATATCCTCTGCCTAGATGGTAGGAGGCATAAGTATACAGTAGAAAATGGACATGCAATTCCTCTTCTCAAAACATCAGAGATTTAAATGAGTACCCTCAATTAAATAAACATGCAAGCTTTGAAGAAAACTTTGAAGACAGATTCATATCTTGGCTCTATTGCTGGCTCTTTTGTATAGATTTCTTAATTTTTTCAGACTTACTCTCGAAAAGTTGGGATGATACCTGCTTACATAGATCTTATTAAGATCAGATAAATTGCTAACATAGTAAATAGTATGGAGAAGGTACTTAAGAAATCCAAGTTTTCTCTCCATGGTGTGGATATGGTAGTAGTAAGAGGTTAGTCTTAATTTTCTCATGTGTTTATAAAGGATTAATATGTATATTAAAGGTTAGTTTTGAGGATTAAGTGAACTAATATATGAAGGATACTTTAAAAATTGGAATTTTGTGGTGCTGCACGCTCTTGCTAATTTGTGTTAAAGAGAATTTTTTTATATGTGGAGGAAAGTATTGTAGGAGACTTTGAAATTTGGCTTAAATTAAGGGAGGAACACTGGAAGTGCTGATTCTAATACATATTGATACAGATTCCAGTTACTACTCTCTCTAATTCACATTGATGTTACTTTGTCTATAATAAATGTGGCATTTAAATATAGTTTAAATTCTGTATTGGAGCTTAAGAAGTGTCAGATAATTTTTAGCTTATTACTTCTTTCAAATCTATATAGTAAGGAAAATGGTTTATTTCTTCTTTTAGATAACAAAAAGAATAAGTGATAATTTTGCAACAATTCTAGACTATAGAGCTAATGATCATATGGGTGTCAAACCTCATCTTTGTTTGCTTTCTTCCTATTGATAAATGGAAATACTATTAGTATTAGTATAATTTTGAATATTACATTTTAGACACTCAAGAATTAGTCTTTGTAGATTTATTCTTAAAAATTATTTGCCATTAGTTAACATAATATCTGGAGAGAATTTGCTATTTCTTATATAATAGATTACATTTGTAGTTTCTGCTTTTGTTTCTTTCCAGAATATTAATGACATAGTATTCAGAATACTAGTGACATAGGGGTCAGGGATTTGGTTTAGTGGTTCTGCCACCTGCCTCGCAAGCGCAAGGGCTCGAGCTCGATTCCTGGCACAGAAAAAAATATAGTGACGTGAACTGGTGACATATATGGCATATATTAAAATATCACATTCATACAGAACTTTTCTGTAATTTATTTGGCTGATTTACAAAATGTTAAAATATGAAGATTATCTTAGAGAATCCTCATTTTACACATGACATCTGAGGAACAGAGTTGTTACAGGAATAATGGGAAATATGGTGCATAGTTCAGGAGTTGTTATTTATTTTTTGTTACCAGTATAATTTATACTGTGCTGCAAGTATGATCGATTCAGCCTTTTATTTTTGGTCACTGTGGTTGGTAGGAAAAAAAGCTGAATTGAAACTGTCCAGAAACTTGGTTTCTAACTCTGACTCTGCAATTAACTCTTTGTTTGTTTGTTTTTTGAGATAGGGTCTCATTATGTAGTTGAAACTGACCTGGAACTCACTATGTAGCCCAGGCTGATCTCGAATTTACAGCTATCCTCCTGCCTCAGCCTCCCAAGTGCTGGGATTACAGGCATGTGCCACCACGCCCGGCTTGCCATTAACTCTTTGAGAAATTTTGAGCAGTCATTTACCCTGGTAGAGTTTTGTTTTGTTTTGTTTTGCAGTACGGGGGATTGAATTTAGGATCTTGAGCTTGCAAGACAGGTGGCGGCACCATTGAGCTAAATTCCTAACGCTCTAGGTTTTTAAAAGCTCTTAAAACAGTTCTTTACAATATGATTCTTTAAACATTATTTCCTTTCATTTACTTACTTAGTAAATGTTTACTTTGCTTGTTGTTAGGTCTGGTTAAACTAATTAATCTTGATCTTTTTAGGTTGATTATTCTAGACCTTCAGCAAAACACAGGAAAATAGCTACCTCATTTCGTGATACTTCTCTCAAAGACATATTTGTACTAGCATGCTCTCTTCTAAAAGAGGTAAATTATTTAATAATTCAATTTATTGGTTTGAGTATTTAGGAGATTTTAAGAGGCTCAAAATAATTTAAATGGATTTTCCCCCCAATTCTGCCTCTAAAAGAATTATTATGGACAGTCTTAAATACAATAAATTTGTACAAATCTATAAGTGGTTCCAAGAAATCAACATTTACTTACTGAATATATAAGGTAAAATCCAAAGGAAACTTAGTAAGTTACCCTTAGATAGTTTCATTGTCTCCTTACTGTAGATTAATTGTGAAATCTAATTGTCATAGTTTTTTTTCCTGCCTGCCCATACTTTGCATACAAAAAAATGAAATGATGTTGTTTTTATAATTCATCAATTGTCAAAATTTATTCATCATTTAGCAAGCATAGCTGAATTGATTAATTTCTTTAGGAAATTATAATTCTCTTTTGGTTACATATGTCCTATTGAACATTAATGATCACATGATTCCCAATTGTTTCATGTTCTCTTACATAATACAGGGATTCCATCAGGCTGCTCAAGGTTTTTAGTTGGCGTAGTAAAGCATTTCCCAAAGTATGTTCCAGTAAGCATTAGTTTCTATGTACAGTGGTACCTCAGTTCACAAACTTAATTCTTTTTGTGATGCTGGTCACAGACCAAGTTGATTGTGAACCAAATCAAATTCAGTGGATAGGTTCATTGTTGACCTTATGGGGAAATTTGATTCAGCTTGTAACCAACTCAGTTTGTGACCAGCTTTGTGAAAAGAATTATGTTCTGTGTATTTCAGTTCTGTGGTAGAGCTTGAGTCTTCCTCATCCTAAATAGTTGGAACTAAATATATTTCAGATTTTGGAGTTTTTTGGTTTTGGAATATCTGCATAGACTTTATTGGTTGAGCATCCTTGATGCAAAATTCTGAAATTTACCAAAGTTGAATCCTTTTTGAGTGGCATATGTTTTGGATTACAAGGCATTTTGGATTTTGGGGTTAGGGATGCTCAATTTGTACAATAACATGATACTTTCTGCATTAAATGAGACTAAAAGATCTGGTCTTAAAATTTTTCTTTTAGTATGGCATAATTTAACTTGTACAAATGTAAGTAGAATAGTATAATTGATGCCTTTGAAACTTTTAACCAACTCAACAGTAACAACTCATGACTAACTTTGTTTCATCTCTCTCTACCTAGCCACTTTATTTCTTTGCATATTATTTCTAGGAGAACCCCAAGTTTCATATCACTTTCTTTACAAATATTTTGTGAGTTATCTTTAAGTGGTTTGATCTTTTCATGTTGTGGCAGAGTGGACATTAATTTGATGGTAGGATTGTTCTCCAGAAGCTTGTGGGTATTCTTCCACTCAGTTTTGACAACCTTTGCTACTCAAATACAGGTTATTCTATACATAAAGTTAACCAGGTTTTCCTTGAGAAAAGTTGTATTTTCAGTTTGTTAAAAGCATTCGTTGAACTAACAATTCCTGTGTACATACACATATGCTATGTAGAGTATTTGTCCTCAAGTTGCGTCTAACAACTTTAGGTGACCTGTATTGTGTTGTTAAATGTAAACATTCTCACTTTACAAAATTAAATTTGACAAGCTTGGGAGCGTTCAGAGTGGTACGGCCATAGACGCAAAGTTAAATTTGAAATAGTCTGTTATGAAAGAAATTTGTAATAGTGATTTTACCATTTTTCCTTTATATTTGGGACAATATAACTTTCTTAATTTTTTTTTTTTTGCATTTGACGTTACTTGAATATGTCAAGTTAACATTTACTACTATATTTCATAATGTTTTATTTTACTTTCAATTTCTTTCAGGTATTGTCCAAACCTTTGAATCTTCAGGAGCAATGTCAACAAAATCTGGTAATGCAGGTCTTGAAACTGGTCCTCAACTGCTTAAGCTTTGACTTTATTGGCAACTCAGCAGATGAATCTGCAGATGATCTTTGCACACTGCAGATACCAACGACCTGGAGAACAAGTAAGAAAAAATTTTGCAACAAGGGTGGTCAACATAAATGGTGCAGAAGTAAGCAATATAGTTGCTGTGTGTATAGTCATCTCTCTTTTTTCACTAGCAATCAAAAAGATCTCAGGAGGATTTGTAACCCAAAGTAGCTGTTGGTCACAGTATTGTAATGTTTTCTTCAATTTATAGCGTAGTAACTGCCATATTTTGATTTAGAACAAAAGAAAAGATAGCTGTAAAACTAGGTAGGAAAATCAAGAGTTCTTTAAATTTTCAGATAAATTCAGTAGGGAAGGATCCATTAGTTAGCAAGAAGTGTTAACATATTTTTCAGGTTTATAAAGAGAATGAGTTAGAGTAAGTAAATTAATGGAATTGAGTTGGAACTTTCCTAGAGGAGAAATACCAAGAGAAAAATCTGATTTATTTTCCTCATATCCCAGAAGAATGGTAGCACTAGGGTACTTCTGAAATCCAATTTGGGGAATGAATCTGAAATGGCTGACAAAAGATTGTACTTTTAACATGATCTTTTCTACCACTTGTGCAGCTAAACAATTGCCTTTTCTCATCTCTTTCCTCTCTGCACTATTCCCTTGCTTCCTAAGACCAGAACTTTTTTCCTTAAATTAAAACTGGAGATGCTTCATATATAGCATTACCTGGTACAATAGAACACCACAGATCTTATGAGAACCTCTAATATGGAAATCAAAGACTAAAACAACAAAAAGAGACTTGTGTTCTGTATCTTGGCTGCTGATGGTTTCATGAATCAACATATGTAATTAAAAATTGCAAGACTAAAAACATGCATGTATACACAGGAGTATATTTAAAACGGAAATTTGAATTAATTTTGTGAAATGTATCAATGTACATTTCTTAATTGTACTGTAATTTAGTCTTGCAAGAAATTACCATTGTGAGAAACTGGATGAACTGTTGTATCTATCATTATTTGTTGATGCAACTACAGTATGAATCCACAGTTATCTTGAAGTTTAAGGAAAAAATTAAGGAATTAATATAAACAGAGACAAGGTAGAGTAGGGTTTAAAAAATATATAATAACAATTCCCACGAGAGGTAACAAAAGGAAGTACATCTCTGAAATAAAAACAGGTTATTGTTTTTAAAGTGAAAGTTCAGAGAATTGCCACATTTAAGAGGCAGTTGCCAAATACTGCACTCAGTAGAAGAGTTAGAAGAGAAAGTTAATGAAATTTAGAAAGAACAATAAAGCAAAGAGTTGTTTAATAAGACAAAAATTTATACATATATAAAATTAGAAGATGAAACAAGAGGTCTTGCTTCTAACTGTAATGTGTTACAAAAAGAGAACAGAGAAATCAGAAGGAAATTTGCAAACACATATCCAAAACGTTCACAGCACTGAAGGATGTTTTTGGATTGAAAGGGCCTCCTGAGTACCTAGCATAATGAATGAAAAGTGATATGCACCAAGCCTCTGAATCACGACATTTCAAAATGTGAATACAGGAAAAAGCCCTCAGTTGTAATGGAATTAGACTTCTCAATAACAGTTTTGAAAGCTAGAAAACAATAAAATAGTCCTCAGGCTTCTGAGGAAAAATTATTTTCAAACTAGATGCAAAATATTGTGTATGATAAAGACCTTTTCAGACGTGTCCTCTCAAAATTTATCTTGCACTTGCTATCAAGAAACTGATGTCATAGCCAATAAAGTAGAAGGGCATTTGGGAAAAAGACAAGACAATGAGTAGATGTTAAAAGGAGACAGAGAACAACTATTTCAAGTTGGAGCCTCTGAGAGGTGTGAGTAGGAGAATGGAAATGGTAAGTTATATGATGTTATAGATTTTGTGGAAAAGGTTTTGAAGAACATTTTATAAATTTGTCAGAGCATTTGGGAACAATTAGTGGCAGATAGATGTATAACTAACCACTGAAAAGATGCTGTGATTAAATACAGAGTGTGTGATGTAATTGTAGCATACTCCTAAGCTGTTAACATTCTTTACATAGTTATAGTAAATATAAATACTTTAGAATTGATTTAATCACAAATGGTAATAATAGTAGAAGGAGAAGGATGTAGAGAGTGGTACAGGTATAATTGCTAGGTGAATGATTAGCTAAAACCTCATATAACTGAATGAGAATTCAACTGATACCTAGAGTTAAAAAAAAACAACAAAAGCAGTATAAAGTATTTGGAAATACATGCATATGTATATATATATATGTGTGTGTGTGTGATTGAAAGGCACATATTTGTAATGGCCTGTGATACAGCTTTTGTATTACATAGTACTATTTACTTTTTGAATTTTTAAATAATGTTTATATTACTAATATAAATGAAGTAGTGAGAGCATTATCCTATTAAAACTGTAGATTCTACGTAGAAATAAGGACCATCTTAGCTGGTTAATTTTTGTCTCTATATTGTTGCATCTTTTATGGGAAAGTGGCTAGGAATTTAATATAGCCAAAACTAGAGTAGCTACATGTGGAGACACTGGAGTTCTCAGTTTGTGTGATAATGTCTTATTATTGGATTGAAAGTAATACTATTAGAATATAATTTTTTTTCAGTTTTCCTGGAACCAGAAACATTGGATCTTTTCTTCAATTTGTATCATTCACTTCCACCACTACTGTCTCAGTTGGTAAGTAAAAGTCATCCATTACATCATTGAAAATATCTGTGATCTTTAATTAAAGTAAGGGGTGACAAGTATTTATTATCAAGGATTCTACTTATGTATTTGATTGGTTTGATCTTTCACAAATAGTTCTTACAGTTTTGGGGATGTATATTGCTTCAGCTCTTGCTAGATTTTATTTATTTCTATCTTCCCCCTTTTTTTAATGTTGAGCTCAGAACCAGTAACTCTTGATTTTTTTTTCAAAAATATTTTTGGCCTATCAAAGGCCAAAGCCAATACAACTAGTCAATCTCTATCTTTCTTCCTAATTAGTTTCCACAGGGCCCATGTCCAGCAGTCAGCCACACCATCTAGACCTTCCTTTCTCTTACTTCTCTCTAATACTTCCTCAACCTTCTCTGCCTTCATATATGTTCTTAGGCTTGATAGACAGCTTTCATTAGATTTCTCTGAATGAGAAACAAAGTGGATCTTCTTATTTGACTTGTGCTCATTACTCTTGTTCATTTATTTTTTAATAAAATTTTATTGCATGCTCCAGAATTCTTAAAACTCTTGATATATATGTAAATATATATATAAAACTATATATTCAAGAGTTTTAAGAATTTAGGAGCATATGCATATATATATATCATGACATATATGTGTGTGTGTGTGTGTGTGTGTGTGTTACATAAGAGACTATAGGCTCCATCTTTGTAGCATCTAAAATATATTCGTAATATTAAGACAATTGTAAGTTTAGTATCCAAACTTTGAGAAATAAGGGGGAATTCTAGTGCCATTTCCTGAAATAAGATGTTTCAGATTTCAAGTACGTATTAGTGGTGTACTTATATGGCAATGTTACCACTTAGAATAAAGGAACAAATTCATAAAACTATTTCCTTTAAAAAACATGTCCATTCTTGAATCAAGAGTTTAAGGTGGTGGTAGTTAAACTGAATTTCACTGGGTATTTGTGTTTTTAGGTGATGTCATAGCCTGTCTTTCAACTAGAACAATGTTACTTTTAATTATTTAAAAACTGTAGTTCCTTATGTTTTAGGGTAAAACACAAAAGTACTGGTGATTGAAAAATAAGGTAGAAAACATCTGCTTTGTTCTCAATATAGTAACTGACATTTATCACCCTTATCCTATTATATGGTGCTTGTCTTACTTAGCCCTTATAGTGGCAGTGCAAGGTTACTAACACTACCCTCAGTAGGTACACCCCAAAAAACAAAAAACAGACCCAGAATGGCTAGGTGACTTCCAGTCAGGCAACAGGGTAATATTGGGAATTAAAACCCACATCTTTTGGAACCAAAAGCCCCCTTGTGTTTTGTTTTGTTGTTGTTGTTGTTGTTTTGTTTGTTTATTTGGCAAGAGTGGAAATTGAACCCAGGACCTTTACATTAAACTACATCCTGAGCCTTTTTTATATTTTATTTTGGGACAGGGTCTCACTACGTTGCCCAGTGGGACTTAATTAAATTTGCCATTCATCTTTGTAGCATCTAAAATATATTACTTGCTTTAGCTTTCTGTAAGAATGGTGGGATTACAGGTGTGCCACCACCATGCCTGGCTGGTGTTTTGTTTTACTTTTACTTCTTTTTTTTTGTACTGGAGATTGAACTTGGGATCTTGCACTTGCTTTTACTTTGAATACATTAAGTAATCCCCAGCCTGCACATCAGAGTTGCCTAGAGGTTTTATTTTGTTTGGTTTGGAAGGGGTGTTTTTTGTTGTTGTTTATTTTAACTATGGGGCCTGTGGCAGACTGGACCATGACTTAAAAAAAGGAAATCTTTTTAATTTTTTGAGTTTTCATCCCTATTCTAACCCTTGTCAAAAGAGCCAGACATTCTGTATGAAGCCTCCTAATTGATAATTTAAGTGTTGACAGCTAATTTTAATTTTTTTTAAGTGTTCAAGCAGTATGAATCAAAACAAAACATAGTCTGGTTTGGCCTAATGTTGTGACTTTTGGGCTTCTCTTAATAAGCAGACTTCAGTAGGTACCACTAGAATTAAGAACCCAAATAGTAAAATTGTCTGGAAACTTCAGGAAAGCGACTATACCACAGGTACTCCTTAGAATCTTCAGAAAGTAAATAACTCTTCTAGCAGCATTTTCCATACTGTTCCTTAAGGTACTTATGTATAATGCGAAATATTCCATGACCAAATAAGTTTGAGATGTGCTGGGTTAAGTCAAATTATATGATTTGTACCCCCTTTTGGGTTACTACATACAGTGCATAATTTAGAGTATTTTAAAAAAACATTGTACCATAAAATCATCATTTCTTTTTACTAGAACACCTGGTTCTTGTTTTGCAAGAATGAGACATCATAAGCAGTTGGGAGCTTCTGAACATATGTATATGCAGACTTTGCTCTGCAGAATTAGTGTATGAGAAAATATTAGAGGGGAAAACAGAAATAGGGATTTTAGTGGTGGAGCAGAAGGTTTGAAGGTAGTTACAATGGTTAATAGTATTTAGCTTTTATTTTTATAAAGTTTTTTATGAAAATAAAATATAAGTTAAAGATTAATAATTTTTATATGTGGCAATGTCTACTTTTAAAACTGAAATGAAATTTTCTTATTGCTTTTAGGCACTTTCATGTTTAGTGCAGTTTGCTTCTACAAGAAGGTCTTTATTTAGCAGTCCCGAACGTACCACATACCTTGGTAATTTAATTAAGGGAGTAAAAAGGATACTTGAAAACCCTCAGGTATTTATGAAGTAATTTAATTAATACTTAGCATATAGAAATAATATTTCTGCTCAAAGGCACATAATCTCATCATGAATTTATTATGATTCTAGAAGAAAATATTTAGTATCTTACTCTTCTTTCTTAGGTCTCATTTGTAGTAGAAATGGACAGTTTTAACAAGTGGGTATTTCCATAGAACGCTTCTATGTTTTTCCTCTTGATTCTTTTTCTTTTAGGCAAATTAGAATAGTATTGTATTACACTTCTGTCTTTTACCATTGTACTGCATTTCATTGGTTGCATTTGTTAATTTATTGAGGCAATTAATTTAGGGTCATACCTACCTTCTGAACTAGAAGATTTAATATAGTTTTAAATGATAATATTGGAAAAAGTGACTTTAAATAATGGAATACTGTCTTTTTTGCCCTCTTGTGGACAAATAAGAGTTTATTGATTTAAAAATCTACTCTGGGGGCCAGGGATTTAGCTCAGCGGTTCAGTAGCCTGCCTTGCAAGTGCAAGGACCTGCGTTCAATCCCCGGTACCAAAAATAAATAAATAAATAAAAATCTACTCTGCAGTAATTTTAGAGCTTCCCTGGCAATATTCTTTTGAGAGAATTGGAAAGCCATTATTAATGAGTGTTTCTGAGTGTCTAGATAAACATTCTGTGTCACTATTTTGTTTCTGGTTTAAAATATCTGTAGTTAAACTACAGATTTTAAAAGGGTAAATGGTAAGTTAAAGAGCTATGTCGAAGCCTCTTAGTTATGAATAACTTTGGAGGGGACAGATTATGTCTTTGTATGGAAATAAGGCATGATACAAAATAAAATATTTTATAGAAAGCAGTTATTTTGTAGGTTTTTCACAGAAGTATCTTAATAGGTTATGCATTTGTTTTATCTTTTCAGCATTAGTAAATTTGTTAGTTTTACTGGTAAATAGGATTTTACCAATATACTTTAAAACTTGTAGTTGCTTAACTCACTGTCATCAGCTTATACTGTAGAATATACTGTGCCAGTCTTAGATAGTTCTTGTAAATGACTTTCCAACGTCTCATATTGATGTTTTGTTGTGAAAATTATATTATTTTAGAATCTCAACTGTGTATTAAAAGACCTATGATTACAAAATGTCTTTTTGGCCTTTGGCCTTTAATAATTACTCATTATTATATATTCTTTTATAGAGCTGGCTCAGTATTAAACTGATGCTCTTTTAAACTTTATTTCATGCTAGCTACAGTACATACTGCAAAATACTGAAGCAATAGTGATGATAACACATTTGCCCTGTTTTCCAGGAGCTCATAGACAACTGGAGAGACACTTTGTTGGTCTTTCTTTTTAATCTATCCTCTCCTAAAAGTTACCTGTGTGTCTTTTAGGTATTTTATTAAATTTTGTTTTCTACATTGCAATAATTTGAATGACTGTCCATTTAGAAACAGGGAATTAACTTGAGGGCACAGTGACTGTAAGTACTTGTAAGTGTTGAATTAAAAGAAATTTCTATTATGTATGTGCCCATATACATACCATTTAAGTTTAGTTTGTATTGCTCATTTCTAGCATCCCATTCTTAATTTTTCATCTTAAGTACATTTCAAGTCCTTTGATGACTTCTGTTTAAAGCACTGTTCATTCTTTCATATTCTTCCTTTCACTGTCCCTCTCTGTCTCCATCTCTAAAAGGTCTCCAAAACAATATATTTTAGTCATTGTGGTTGAAAGCTTCTTTCACACTGTAGTCTGAGTTCCTTATACTTAATAATTAATGACAACATTTAGTTGCAGGAATCACTTGTTTCCTTATATTGTTGTCTACACAGTTGACCCAAAGTGTCCTAAATCACTATTGCAAACTAGGTAACATAATTAAATACTTTGGAATTTTGTTGGTTTTATTATCAATAGGTTGGTTTGTATAAAATGCTTTTCTTTTTGTCTCATAATTTAGGGTTTGTCTGATCCAGGTAATTACCATGAATTTTGTCGATTTTTAGCTTGTTTAAAGTCAAATTATCAGCTGGGAGAATTAGTCATGGTGAAGGAATACCCTGAAGTTATTAGACTGATTGCTAATTTTACTATCACTAGCTTACAGGTAAGTAAAAATATAATTGATGTTAATCTGTAGTTTTAGAACAATTTTTGGTGAAGGATAGTAGCACTATTCTTGTTTTAACATCTATTAATTTAACTGCTTTGTTGAAATGTTCTTTGTAGAAGTTTAGGTAAACACTTCATTGTGGCATTTATAAAAATAATTGTCGGGAGGCTGGGGATTTGGCTCAGTGGTTCCGCCACCTACCTCACAAATGCAAGGGTCTGAATTCAATCCCCGATACAAAAAAAAAAAAAAATTGTCAGGGCCAGGGATTTGGCTCAATGGTTCTGCTGCCTACCTCACAAGCTTGAGGGCCTGAGTTTGATCCCCGATGCTAAAAAAAAAGTCAAGCTACTTAAATGTCTAGTAACTGAGGGATCACTTGAGAAGCAAAAGTGAAATCTATATGAAGAACAAAGTGATAATTTATAGATTGTCTTATGGGAAAATTCTTTTTGTAGGTTTGGAGGAGGAGGTAACTAATCATATTTTCCATATGATGTCATCTCTATGAAAAATATACTGATGGAATGATTAAAAGGAAATATACTATTTTAATAATGGTCATGTCTGGGTGGTGTAAGAAGGTGTCGGTTTTGAGGGCCGGGGATTTAACTCAGTGGCACCGTGCCTGCCTTGCAAGCACAAGGTCCTGAATTTGATCTCTAGTACTCCCCCAAAGAAAAGGGTGTTGGTTTCTTTATTTTTTTGCATGTATAAATTTTCTTTAAGAAGTGTTAATTACCTATATAATCAGGCTAAAATTTTATGTAATCAGAATTTAAATTTTAAAATGTACAGTTAGTAATTTTGCTCTGTATTTCTTATTCTATAAAGGTATGTCATTTTGAATAACTTTCTCTATATTTCCTTGTAGCATTGGGAGTTTGCTCCCAACAGTGTTCATTATTTATTAACTCTGTGGCAAAGGATGGTAGCATCAGTTCCTTTTGTGAAGTCAACTGAACCCCACTTATTAGACACTTACGCACCTGAAATCACCAAGGCTTTTATCACTTCTCGGTTGGAATCTGTGGCCGTAGTTGTGAGGTATTTAAAAAGCTAAGGGTTTCTGTTATGTTTTCATCTTTTGCATCTTGGAAATTTTAAAGATTTGAAGTATAAGTTTTAAATTTACTCTTTAAAGTACAGCTCTATGAATTTTTTTTCAGCTTTAATTGAGTTTATTGGTACATTTTAGGGATACAGTACAGTTACATTCATTGTTGGGATCTTGTACCTCTACATGGCAAGTCTTGATTCTCATTTTTTCCCCTTACCCCTTCCCTCCCTTCACCCCCTCCTCCCCTCCCCATCTACAAACACTTTATTTTCATCTTTTCATTATCTCACATAAGCTCTGTGAATTTTGACAGTATACACATTTGTGTATAACTACCATCATGATAGGGATACTGAATGGTTCTGTCACCACAAATGATTTGTTGGATCTCTGTAGTCAGTCCTCAGTTCTGATGCTGACTGAGCTGTTTTGTTTTTGTGTAATTTTTGCCTTTTCTGGAATGTTGTATAAGTGAAATCATATAGTATGTATAGTTTTTAAAGTCTGGCTTCTTTCAATTAGCATGATGCATTTGAGATTCCTCCATATTGTATCAGTACTTATTTTCATTTCATTGCTCAGTAATATTCCATTTTGTGGATATATTAGTTTGTTTATCCATTTACTTGTTGATGGACATTTGGGTTGTTTCCACTTTGGCCGTGTGACTAAAACTGCTGAAGACATTCCTGTACAGATTTGTATCGATCTAAGTTTTTATTTCTCTTAAGTAAATACCTAAGTGTAAGATTTTTGGGTGGCATGATAAATGTGTATTTTCTTTTATAAAAAGCTGTCAATTATTTTCCAAAATAGCTATACTACTTTTTAAATCTTTTTTTTTTTTTGGTTTGTTGAGACAGGGTCTCACTATGTAGTTGAGACTGACCTGGAACTCACTATTGTAGCCCAGGCTGGTCTCGAACTCACAGCAATCCTCCTGCCTCAGCCTCCTGAGTGCTGGGATTACAGGCATGCGCCACCACGCCTGACTCAGTACTTTTGAAATTCTAACATAAAATTTTACTCCTGACATTTCTGAAGTGTCTAAGTAGAACCAGAGTGGCCAGTATTAGCTACAGAGAATTGAAGTAGAAATATCTAGGAAAATGTGAATGATATAAAGTGGCTATAAAATTTTGCAGACTTGCTTGACATGTAGGAAAGATCTGGTTGCTCTGTATTCTCACTAGCACTTCATGATATTGTCACTTCTCAAAAATTCTACCCATTCTAGTATATTATGATGCTTTATTGTGGATTTAATTTGCAGTCCCTTAATGAGGATAATGTGGAGCATCTTTCATGTGCTTATTTACCATCTTAATTTATTCTTTGGCAAAATGCCTATTGCCATTTTTTTTAAAGCAGGTTTTTCTTATTGAGATTTGAGTGATCTGTATATTCTGTTCACAAGTCTTTTAATCATATATAATTTTTTCTTTGCAACATATTTTCTCTGCATCTACCATTTCTTTTCATTTTCTTGAATGTTCAGAGGAACAGAAGTTTTAAATTTTATTGAAGACCACATTATCTTTTTCTTCTATATGTCATGTTTTAGTATCATATCTAAGGAACTTTTTGCCTTATCCAAAGTCACAAAGATTTTATTTTTATTCTAGAAGTTTTGTAGTTTTATAGTTTACATTTCAGTCTGTGATTGATTTCAACTTAATTTTTGTATGATACATGAAGTAAAATTCAAGTTCTTTTTCTTTTCTAGAATGACCAGTTAGTTATCCGACACTATTTGTGAAAAATTCTTTTTCCCATTGAATTTTCTTTACATCATTGTAAAAAGTTAGTTGACTACAAGTTGACTACATATATGTGGTTTTATTTTTAGACTCTATTCTGACTAATCCATGTGACTTTTCTTCCACCATTTCCCTGTCTTACTATCACTTTATAATAAAATTTGAAACCAAAGTGTGTTATCCAACTTAGTTTTCTCTTTCAAAATGGTTTTCTCTATTCTACTTTCTTTGCTTTTCCATGTAACTTTTAGAATCATTTTGTCAATTTCTACGAAGAAATTTCACAGGGATTTTGACTATAATTGCATTGAATCTATAGTTTCATTGGGATGACTAATTGAGATCACAGCAATATATAATACTTTAGTCAGTGAGCATCTATCTTTTCTGATTCTTTCATCGGTGTTTTATCATTTCAGCCTTCAGATCTTGCATAGTTGAATTAGATTGATTAATATTTTGTGTTCGCCAGAGCTTTTATATGATACTTTTTAAAATTTACATTTCCAAATTTTATTTCTAGAGTTGATTTTGTATATTGATGTTGTATGCTGTGACATTAGTAGATTCACCTGTGAGTTCCCCTAGCTTTTTTGATAAATTTTCTATGTATGTAATCATGTCATCTTAACAGATAATTTCTTGTCTTCTAATCTTTTATTTCTTTATCCATCACAATTATTTAACATAAAGGTTTATTTGTGGTGAATAAAAGTATATCACATTCTAATGTTAAATGAAAACTTCTTTGTATGTTTGCAGAGATCACTTAGACGATCCGCTGAATGATACCACTACTGTATTTCAACAGCTGGAGCAGTTGTGCACTGTCAGCAGATGTGAATATGAAAAGACGTGTACTCTTCTTGTACAGTTGTTCGACCAAAATGCACAGAATTACCAAAAACTTCTGCATTCACCTTCTCGGACAACTCTAGACATAGCAATTCAAGAAGGTCAGTAAATTTTATGTGACTATTATGTGAATAGTAAAATGAATATTAAGTAATATCATGAATGACTTTAGTAATCTTACTACAAATTATTTATATGTATTTTCCCCAATTTCTGGTCCCCTAGTAAGTTATTAATTTTATCAACCTGGAGAGTATTTTGGTAGCCTCATAGTTGATTTTTAATTCTCTTAAGATAAGAATTTTAGGAAATATTTCTCTGTGGCATTCATATCAAGAAATGCTGGTAGTGGTCCTTGAGCAGATAGTATAACTATCTTTCAGAATAATCATATTTCTTTCATTTCTCTAGTTGCTTGATTAAAATCAGGGCCTCACATATGCCACGCAAACACTATACCACTAAGTTAGATCTCAGCCCTTGTTATTTTTATTTTAACACAGTCTAAGTTGCCCAGGCTAGCATCAAACTTGTGATCATCCTCCTTTCAGGTAATTAGGATTACAGGTGTGTGGTACTATACCTGTCCATTTTTCAATTTTTAAATAGATGTTTTATAAGAATGAAATTTAATTTATCCAGCAGCTTAATATAGCTGCAGGGCCAGGGATTTAGCTCATTGGCAACATGCTTCCCTGGCAAGCACAAGGTCCTGAGTTCAATACCTGGCACTCCCCCCAAAAAAATAAATAAAGGAGGCCAGGGATGTAGCTCAGTGGCACCATGCCTGCCTGGCACTTGCAAGGTCCTGAGTTCAATCCTGGTACCACAAAACAAACAAAAACAATATAGTTCCAGACTTTTTTTTTTCATATTTATTTCTTTTATCATGTGCTGAAAAGGGAGTTTGGTAAGGGATAGAATTTAAATTTGCTTCCAATGACTTCCCATCCTCACACTTTGAAAATTATTAAGTATGAAATACATAGATATTTATATATATTGAGACATAGAATAGTAGTAAAAAAATCATCTTTCTTAAAGAGTAAGTCACTGCTAGTATCTTTGCATCATCCTTTGTTCATCTTTCTGAATCTTTTCTTTCTGCCAACAGAATACTTAATACCTCTTTTTTCAGTTTTACTGTACATCTATTCTGAAAATAATTTATGATTTTGCTTTCTTTTAATCTTTAAACAAATGTAATCAAACTGGGTACTTTTTCTTCTACAACTAGTTGTATTAGTATTTTTTAGTAATACATTTGTGAGAGTTTATATTGATGCATATTCCTTAATTTTCACTGCCTTGCACTGTTAGTTTGTTTAAATAAAGTACAATTCATTTATGACTCCCTTGTCACTGAGTATTTTTAATTTGCTCTATTTTTTGCTGATACTATGTAGTGTTGCTGTAAAGACTGTTGTGCATAAGCTTTAGTAGATAATTTCAAATTATTTTTAAAGTAATTTTCTCTCCTTTATATCTGCCAAGAGAGTTCACAAGTTTCCATCTATCAGGAATTGGCAATCTTGGTTTTGAAGTGTTTCAAAAGACTCTAAATGTTTTAGAACTCTGTTGCAACTCTTCATCTCTGTTTTGTACAGTTTATAAAAGCTATAGCTGGAGTGGAGCCATATATATTTGGCTGTGTTCTAGTAAAATTCTGTTTATAAAAATAAGAGGCTGTGCCACAGATTAGGTTGCTGCATTAACCTACATTCTCACCAAACAGCTCAGATTTTAGACCCGAAATTTTTGTGGGTTTTTTGTTGTTGTTGTTGTTTTGTTTATTTGTTTGTTTGTACCAGGGACCAAACTCAGGACTTTGTGTTTGCCAGCTAGGCATGGTGCCACTGAGCTAATTCAGTGGCACTAAATCTAGTGCCCTGGCCCTAGACTCAAACTTTTGACAGTCTGGTTGAGATAATATTCATGATGAGTATTTTAAATCCCCTGATTAAGTCAACATTGTTTAATACTTACTGACTGTTCATTGTGTCATTCTCAATGATATATATGCATCTCTTGTTCATTTATCCTTAACCATTGGATTACATGTCTTGCTATTACTAATTTTCAAGTAAAATGTATGTAAGAGAGAGACAAACATGTTTGGGTTTGTTTCTGCTTTTTGTTTTGTTGTGCGTGGTAGTGTTGGGATCAAAAACAGGGCCTCTGCCACTGAGCTATACCCTCATATCCTTTATAGTTTTGAAACAAACGCTTTTCTTTTTGAATTGTAAATAATGCCTCCAGATTTGTGACCATTTTTTGCATACCCGCTATCTTACATATTTCATATCAAGCTTGATTTAAATTAATTCACCTAAGTTTGAAAAAGATAATATATTTACCTTGTAAAAAATTATGTTCTGTTCTAGTGTGCTATTCTTTTCTACCATTCATCATCTTAGCAAGTAGCCATCCATACTAGTTTTGTCTTTCCAAAGTTTATGCACGTACAAACACTCATGAATGTATAAATTCTTATCTCTTTATTATTAATGTAGACTTTGGAATACTACATTTACTTTTCTCTGCTTTTTTTCATTTAATGATATGTTTTAGAGCTATTTGCAAATTTGTATATAGAAAACTATTTTTTTGTAGATACAAAATATTTTTACTGTATCAGTTTACTTAATTATTCCCTCCACTGTGATAGTAATGAGTTGTTTACAGTCTTATTAAATATATTGCTGTACAGATTAACCCTGTAACCCTTTACAGCATAAGTTTCCAGAAGTGGAATTGCTGTTGGATAGAGGTTCAGTATAATTGTAATTTTACAGATATTGCCAAATTGTGTTCTTTGAGGGCTAATTTATAATTATTATTTCCATATAGCTCTCATGGGGCTACATTACCAAGCTTTTGAATTTTTGGGAATCTTTTGCATGAAGATGATTTCTCAGTATAATTTAAGATTTGCATTTTTTTATTAGTTTAAATGTTTAAAATGTGTAAAAACTAATTGGTTTTTTCCTTTTTGGAAATGAACTTCCTTTGTTTATATTTCTAATGAATTGTTGATTTTTTTCCTTTTTGGTTTCTAAGAGCATTTTTCTGTGATTGAAGTTGCAAATATATTTTTTCTTATATTTTGGTGTATGCAAGTTGATGAATTTAGCAGGTATGCATAGCTGTGTAACTACACTACATTTAAGACAGAAAATAGTTCATTTTAAATAATTTTTTCATCCCTTTGATGCCCCTCTTCCAACTTCTGCCATAGGTAATTACTGGTCTGATTTCTGTCATTATAATTTTATCCTTTCAAATTTTGATATAATGGAAACAAAGGTAGTTTATGTTTGACCTTGCTTAACATAATACTTTTGAGACTCAAATGTTATGTGTATTAATATTTTGTTCATTTTTATTGCTGCGTAGAAGTTCATAATGTGGCTTTACTATAGTTCATAAGATTGTGAACCCTTGAATTATAATTCCAGTTTTTAAGCTATGATTAATAATAATGTTGATAACTTCGGTGAACAAGTCTTTGTATCTAAACTTTCATTTATCTTGGGTCAATAACCAAGATGGATGCTCAGTCATATGGCAAACATATATTTAATGTTATATATCGCTAAAATGTCTGTATAAATTTGCATTTCCATTAACTATAAGAGTTTCCCTTCCTTCACATGCTCATTGTTATTTGATATTATTTGCTTTCTTAAGTAGCTATTCTACTAGGTATCTAGTGATGTCTCCCTGTGAGTGTAATTTGCTTTTCCCTAATGATTAATGATGGTTGGACATCTTTCTTTTTTTTTTCCATTTGTGTTTCTTTGTTATTTTGTGATCACTGAGACACAATACCCGCTACTCACAACTCTAAGGAGGAAACATTTATTTTGGCTCACAGTTTGTAGAGGTTTCAGTCCTTAGTAGGCTGATTCCAAGGTAGGGTGGCATTGCACAGGGACATGGCAGAGGATAAAAAGCTCATGGCATGGTGGTGGGAAATAGAGATCAAAGAAGGAAGGAGGAAGCTATATCCTTCTAGGCTACATCCCCAGTGACCCCCCTCTTTTGACCAGGCTTTACTTCCCAACATCACGTTTAGCTATAAGCATTTCAGTGGACTGATACACTGATGATTGTCAGGGGCCCAGGATCCAATCACCTCTTAGAAACTCTACCTATGATCACATGAGGCTTTGGGGGAGACATCTCAATATATACCACAGCAGTGTGCTTATCAGAGAGGTGTTTGTGTGTTTTTGCTCATTTTTAGATTGGATAATTGGCTTTTTTGTTTCTGTTCTTATTATGGAGTCTTAAGATTGCCTTATGTTCTATAGAGAAGCTCCATTTTTTAATATGTTTGCAAATATTTTCTCTCAATCTGTGGTTTCCCTTCTTAATTGTCTTTTAAACATCAAATATTTTTAGTTTTATTTTGCTATTATGTTTAGGTCTGTGATCCATTTCAGGTTAATTTTTGTGAATGTTTTAAGTTAAGGGTCAATATTTTTTCCCCATGAACTTAAGTAAGTTGTTGTAGTTGCTGAAAAGACTTATCTTTTCCCCATTGAACTGTTGTTAACATCTTGCTGAAAATTAATTGCCCATAAAAGGCTGAGGTCTGTTACTGGAGTCTATTCTGTATGACTGCTTTATATGTCTGTTCTTATGATCATTCTACATTGTCTTGTTTATTTTGGTTTTATAATAAATAAACTTATAATGTATAATAAAATTCCTTTAATCTTGTCCCTTTTCAAAAACAGTTTTAGCACTTCTACCTCCTTTGTCTTTCTTAATTAATTAATTATTGATACCAGAGATCAAGCTCTGGACTTTGTATTTGCGAGGCAGGTGGTAGCTCCACTGAGCTAAATCCTTGGCTCTATATTAATTTTAGCATTAGTTTGCCATTTCTTTCTCTTTTTTTTTGTACTGGGAATTGAACTCTGGTCTTTACACTTGCAAGGCAGGCCACTGAACCACTGAGCTAAATCCCCGGCCCTAGTTTGTCATTTCTTAAAAAAAGCTCACTGGAACTTTAATTGGGATTGCCTCATTTATGCTTTTTCTCATACAACTTTACTAAATTTATTTTAATAGATTTTTAGAGATTCTTTAA